TGAGAAAACCGACGTCTTCAATCCAGCCGCATCGCACATTGCAAATCAAGTTGTTTATACCAGAAACTATGCTGTCAATGAAATTGTTCGATACCATGAAAGAAGTAATATAAACAACGAAGTTACTAAAGAACCTGCAAGAGATATCAATGATATTCATGATCCTAACTTTCCAACCCAGGTAAATGCCATAACAAACTGCACTCTATTGAAATAGACAAAAGAATGAAATTTTATGGCAAACGTCTGTATAGTGACGAATGTGATTTACCGCAAACCAACCGGATTCTTAATGACATTTTAATTTGTAGTAGTTAGTAGTAACTACAAGTACACAATTAAGAATTAGGTCGAACTCACCTTATTGCAGTGGTGCGTTTGGTCAAAGCTAGACGTTTTATTAAAAGTGTTTTTATATTATTCCAGAATTCTTCCTGGAATAGTAAGCCAGTATCAAGTACAGCTGTTGGTAGCTCTGCGTCTTTAACAACATCCGGTAAGTTGAAATCGAATCTTTTTAAAATTAATTTTTATTTAACTTTTACAGTGTTTGTGATGATTGATGATACATGAACTGAGCAAGTATTTATTTTCATTATTGTCTTCAAAGTCTTCTCTTTCTTCTGGTCTTTCACCAAAATTAGATTTTAGAGTTTGACTCAGTATCAGTATTTTTCATTGAGCAACTGCTATGTACCGTCCGCAACCTATTGTGATCGATTAGGCTACCTTTACTTTTGGTTAAACCCGTTTTCGAGTTTTTAAGCGTCTTACTACGTAGCAAGACTTGTCATTGATGTTCGTTAATAGTGTTATCATTGGGTGTTAAACACAGCCAATTTTTAGCATGATGCTACGTATACCATGTTTTTTACATTCATTCAAATCCTATATATACGTACATGTTTTCGCAAAATACCCTGTGTATGTAAAAACTGTACAACTAAACAATTTTAAATAAGTATAAATTGATAGTTCAGTAAATAATTCTTCTATTCTTTATTTTCAGAAATGTCAACAGACTCATCATATACGAAAGGATTTACGAAAAGGGCACGAACAGCTTATACGAGCTCACAGCTTGTTGAATTAGAAAATGAATTTCGTGAAACACGTTACCTCTGTCGACCAAGACGAATTGAACTCGCCAATTATTTACAACTAACGGAGAGACAAATAAAAATCTGGTTCCAGAACAGAAGGATGAAATACAAGAAAGACAATAAACATAATAAGCCGTCCTCGTCAGTAGATGATAGCAGTCCTTCAAGCTCCAAAGAAATGTCACCAAATCGTGATCACAAGATGTCTCATGGACGAAACTGTGGTGGACATGATCGACACAGGCGTCTTATGCCAGATAATAACGCAGCTCACCATAAAATTTATCTTCAACCGAACGACAGTATTCCTAGGCCACCAGAATACACTGCTATTAATCCATTGAAAACAATTTTAAAAGGGCCACAGAATACTGTAGAATTGCCGGCGTATACACCGAACTTGTCTTATCCATCATACTATCCAGGAGTACCAAACAGAGCCACTTACTCACCGATGCCTGAGGTTTATCGATACGGCGATGACTCACTGCCACCGAATTCTAATACTCTGTCTACGTTACCATCTGATAGCTACGTGCCAAACGGTGCTAACATAAAACTAAATGATGATTTAGTACGGTTTGGCGCTGGGTCGTCTTACTATAATACAATGCCAAGCGGTGTGATCCCTCCGACTGCTGCAGACACCTATAGCTTTGCTCCAACTTTGCCATCAGCATCGTTGACTACTTATGATGAAAATAGGACATCAAACTTGACTTTGGGTCAAGATCCGTACTTTTCATATTTGATTACTCCAGATCCTGCAAGTCAGCCTACATCTTCAACGCCAACTAAATATTCTGCATCTTATATATCTCTGTAATTTTAAGGTATTGTTTCATTCACTACTTCTAATATTCTCTTTCCTATTACTGTTTTAGTACTTTTCTTGTAAAATTATAAAATAGAATTATTGAATTCTTACAATAATTTTAGTATACTTATAATATACTACTATCTTATTACTATATCAGTATCAAGGTGTATAAATAAAAAATATATATATTTATATAAAGAGAGATTTTAGGTAGTTACAAAGCTTACATTCATTTCTGCTGTGAATTTTTACGTGTCAACCTAGCAGTGCTGCAGCTGCAACCTGCAAATTATCGAATTCTTATTCATCTGTTCAAAGTTTATATCACGATTGATGATTATATGACACGATAAGTGCGTGTGTGTGTATTTTGTTCGTTTTACTCTTGTTTTTTTAATAATAATTTCTCATTATTGTATAATGTCAATTTGTTGTTATTTCGTTTAGTTTAAGTACTATAACAATGTACGAGTTCGTGTATATTAAGCAAATTTTTAAATGATAGATTAATATATTTTTATACTTTCTTATTAAATTTTGTTCTTTTTATTTCATCTCCTATCATGTAACATTTTTAAAAACATAATTATATGATAAAAATTTAACAGGTTTCTAAAGAAAAGTTCTAGTTCGTCTATTTCTATATGTACAATGGCCGTTTTCACCAACCACAACTGAATTATACCTTAATCTTAGTAACTCATTACTTAGTACGAGAGACTTAAACGAACCCCTTATTAGGTGGCATTAGGTGTCGCCTTTTTTTTTTTTTTTAAGGGGGGAAAATCTTCGAATGACTGCTCCCGCCTGGGTGAGGCGGAAGGGAGTGTCAGACTCTTACTGACTAAAAACCACCCCGTTCCTTCTCCTGCACGTCGAGCCGGAGCCCCGGTTACCCGTTAGGTTCTCCGCGACTCCGAATCGGCATCGGCCCTATTGGGCCCCATCTGTGGTGGTCTGATGGCTCTTTGAGGCGCGCGCGGAACGCGACGCGCCGTACGCTCGGGTCTGTTTCTGGTCGGACGGGGAGCCACCCATGCTCGCCGTCCGCAGGCCCGCGCTTACGGTGGCCGGAGATCGTTCCGCGATCCCCGACGCCCGGTGTGTCCTTCGCGATGGCTGGGTTGCGAGGAGGCAGCGCTTTGCTGCCTTACGCGTCCCGCCTCCTCCTTAGCTAGCATGACTGCTTCGCAAAAGGAGGAGACGGCATCCCAGTCCCCCTCGCTCCGCATCATGGCCTGCACTAGGCCCGGAGGCGAGAGGTCGCCATCGCCGATCACTTCCCTGAGGGCACGGCGGTGCTCAGCCCACGCAGGGCATTCTCCCACTGTGTGTTCCATCGTGTCCTCAGGGCGGTCCTCGCAGTGATGACACCCGGGCGTTTCCTCCCGCCCCATCAGACACAGGTACCTCCCGAAACTTCCATGTCCGGTGAGGACCTGCGTCAGGCGGTAGGTGAGGACGCCGTAGCGTGTCTCAAGCCACTCCTCAAAGAGGGGACTTACCGCTGCAATGGCAGCGAGCCCAGCCCTCGGTTGCGACAGTCGTTGCCGCCATCCCGCCACGCACTTATCTGGCGCGGCAGCGGAGTTTCGCCCCGGCGACGTGCCTCCGCGCGCATGTTATACACGCGCGCGAGCACCTTCGCCTCCAGATCCCACGGCGGTAATCCGGCAAGGAGGTTCGCCGACTCCCCAGAGATCGTGCGGTATCCGCGGATCATTCGGATCGCCATGACCCTCTGTGACATGAGCAGCGTCCGAGCAGGACGCCGCAACAAGTTCGGCGCCCAAACAGGGGCGCCGTAGAGGGCCATGGACCGCACGACCCCGGCGTATAACCTCCGGATTAGGTGTCGCCTACAGGTTGATGAAAACCAGAATGTCGTTATATGTCACAAACCTTAGCCTATGGTTTTCCTAAAATGATGATATTGAGCATTACACTGACACTTATAACTGAGGAATCGTAAATTGGAGTATAATAATTATCACTCAAGCTACTCTGCCTTGATTTTACAAGCTTTTATTCAACTTGCAATGTAAACATAATTACATACTAATTAAATTTATGAAGCGAAATCTTAGTATGCAACTAAATTTTGAAACAGTAACTACTATTCAACTGATTGTGCTGAAATGTGTACATACATACACGTTCAATTTGTATGACATTAAACGCTTAGTGCAATAAATGCTTTACAATTTACAATACTTACGTACAATAGACAATAGATATATAAATACGTCACATCGTAGCAAGCATGGTCGTAGTCTATCTGCCAATTTCAATAACCTATCTCAATCTGTGAATTAAAATCGATTATTGACGGATAATCGATACAACTAATGTCAAAAATTATTCATATCCATAGATTTTAGATTCTTTGGCCTGTAGTTGTCAATACTTCACGGTAGGAGTAAAATTTTCGCCCCGACACCACGCTAAGATACGTATACCTACATACTTATTCAGTCAGTCGTAGAAGTGGTTTACTCACAGAATGAGACGATGGAAATAAAAAAAGATTGGTGGATAATTAAGAAACAAAATCATGCAAAATATATTTGCGAGTTTAGCAAACATGGGCAATAAAGCTGAGGTAAATTATCTTTTTCATTTTCCGATATGATTAGGTATATTGATTCGAATATTGACAAAGGTTATACCTACATATTTCTAATACTCATTATTTTAGGTAAAGACCTCATTTCAAAGTCATCATTTTAGGTCTTTACCGAAAATTGTATTTTATTGTAAATTACTGTTTATTTTTTTCCGTATTGCTTTAATTACGTCCTAAACAAGTAAAAGACCGGGAGCTCCAGTTATTGACGATAGTCTATAGTGCATGCATATGCATCTATAGTGTGTACTAGTTACAGGGTGGTTTACAATCTACATTTGTATACAAAATATGAATACGATTATTATTATGCTTGTCAGTTTACTAACGTAATTACGTTATTTGACGTGCAACTCGACTACCTAGTTTCAAGCCATGCTAGAGGCTCATATTCATGAGCTGCATTACGATTATTATATTTTTAGGTTATAATATCTTATTTTTGTTTTAGATTACCAGTCGAGAGAATCAGCCCTTTCGCACAGAACTGTGGCCAAGACAGTCAACGCAGGAGATTAAAGGTTTGTATTTCTATCTTTTTTTTATAATATCTATTGTATTATGTAGAGAAGTTTAGATTAAGTTAATGTTACCTACTGTAAACCTACAATGATATTGTTTGAACTAGAATATATATTTTTATGAACTAGTTTTCCATCCTACTACATAGATGTCAGGATTACCTTTTCAATAAAATTTTAAAACTTACAATCATTAGTAGCTGTTTAAAGCAATGCATAAAATGTTTTTATAAGAACTATCGTGAGACATATTAAATTAACTAAAAATCGCGGGCTACTTATGTGAATATACTGAGCCAGTAGGTTGCGCGACATCGCCGTGGCCGCGCACGTCACACTTGAGGAAGAACTTCTCTGTGGTTCGAAACTAGTAGAGCTTTTCTCGATATATGATGATTGCCAGGCCACAACTATGCGCTTCTGACGATGCATTCTGCTTCGCACTGCAAAACTGTGGAATGATACGTCGGCGGTATTTCCAAACCGATACGATCTTCAAACCTTCAAGAAAAGAGCGTATTCCTTTTTAAAAGGCTGGCAACGCACCTGTGGCTCCTCTGGTGTTGCGGGTATCCATGGGCGGCGATGATCGCTTACCATCAGGTGATCCGTCTGCTCGTTTCCCTCTTATTTCATAAAAAAATTCACGTAAGCAACCCGCGATTGTTAGATAATGCTTAAAATTGTAAGTTTCACATACTTTATTTTTCTTTTCTATTACTGTTATGATACTTTTTGCCAGCGGGTTTGTCCGCATTCTGGTGAGAAAAAAAGTAGCCTATGTGTTATTTTAAATCGCTTCAGCCGTATTGACTAAATTAAGTAAGAAACATATACATAAACTTTTGCATTTATGATAAGACTTAATAACATTTAGAATCATTCAAATTCGCAGATGTGAAACTAAATATCAAGAAAAAACCAAAACGAATACGTAATGCGTATACGGCAGAACAGCTAGCGATATTAGAAAAAGCATATAGCGGCTACAAATACATCAATCCAACAAATCGCAAAGCAATGTCTCAAGCTTTAAATGTCAATGAACAATGCATAAAAAATTGGTTTCAAAACAGAAGAATAAAAGAAAAGAAAGAAATCTTAATGAACGACGAAAATCGTCTGAACGAACGGGATAGTAATAAAGTTACTTTATCGTCGTCTATACCAAGATATGAAATCAAAATATGTAATCCAAGTCAAGTTGCTAATTCAACTACCTGCGCAAATGATGGCGAATCGACTAATAACTTGAATCATTTCAACCAACCACCCGTCCCCTACAGGCCTTATTTTCAATCAAGCGAGGTGCAGACCATTTGTGAATCTGGAAGTAATTCAGTTAGTACTTCATTGCTTCCTAAACCTCCTAGTTCGAATTTAAGTAACACTTCTGACTTCGTAGCTAAAGAAGATATCAATGAATTACTTACTGATTTGAGTCAGTTCATCCAAACCAATTCCGTTTATTATTCTCCTTCTTCAAATCCAGGACAGAAGAATTATGAATCGAGTAGTAGCTCAATTACTGGTTCATTACATCCTAGTTCTCAAAATGAAATCAGAATAAGTAGTTCAAATTTGTATCGTTCATCTGACGTCATTGCCACTGAAAATGTCAATGACTCATCTGTTAACTTTGGTCAGGTTTTTCAATCGAATACCTTTTACGATCATAATCATTTAACTTCATGGGAAGAACAAAAACGATGCGAATTAGGCACTGGTTCATTATCTGCTGTATTTAATAATGAAACCGAAAGATATAATGTATATGCAAATAGCGTATCTAACTCAAATATTAGCGAAAATATTAATGAGTCACGTGTTGAATTGAATCGGGAGAACCAATCCGATCTTGTTTATTGCAATCCTTATGAATATGAAGTACAGCAAAGCTATGCTCACAATTCTTATGATAACCATTATACATACTCAACTCATTCTTACCCATAACCCCTGAAATCTTTCACTTCTTAGGGCCTAGTGAGAGATTGAGTTTACGTTAACGAGATCATAATATCACTGCATTTAGCCCTGAATCGGTTGGTTAACTTGGCGCAGCCAACCAGTTCATGCAAAAATAAGCGCACGTGATCAAACCCGGATTTTAATTTTCATCGAAATGAGACCACGCTCTGATTGGTGGGTTCATTGGAGCTGGCCAATCAAAGACCTTAGTATAAGTTTGTTTCACGTTTAAAGTAATCGTAATGAGTACGTGTTCGGCGCTCTGATTGGCCGACTCCAATGAAGTAACCAATTGGAGAGCTGAAGGCAGTCTCGTTTCGATTACTTTTAACGTAAAATAAACTCGTACTAAGGCCTCTGAGCGCCGACCGCGATCTCGTTTCAATTACTTTTAACATAAAATATACTCGTACCTACTAAGGCCTCTGGGCGCCGACCGCGATCTCGTTTCAATTACTTTTAACATAAAATATACTCGTACCTACTAAGGCCTCTGGGCGCCGACCGCGATCTCGTTTCAATTACTTTTAACGTAAAACAAACTTATTAAGGCCTCTGATCGCCGACCGCGATCTCGTTTCGATTACTTTTAACGTAAAATATACTCGTACTAAGGCCTCTGAGCGCCGACTGCGATCTCGTTTCAATTACTTTTAACATAAAATATACTCGTACTAAGTCTTCTGAGTGCCAAGCACGAATAACACATTTGGCGATTTGATTGGCCGGCTCCAATAAACCCACCGATCTGAGTGCCGAACGCGCTCGATACTATTACGTTACAAATGCGATAGTATTCGTGCTTGGCACTCTGTACTCGCACGCGTCTAGTGACGGCCAATGCGAGTGTGGTCATGCGCGGTGGGTGTAAGTATATTGTACAATTCTAACGCGCTAATGTTATGTGTAAATAAGTGTAAATAATATAAATTATACTAATTTAAATTAAACTCTAAGTATAAGTTATTTTAAGAAAATTAATATTATTAGATTACGAACTAAGTCTAAATGACTTATTATTGAGTTATATTTTTTTTATTGATAATTATGTTTGAACTAAAGTTAAATTATTGATTAATATTTAAATAATTTATTTTTAAACTATTGTATGAACACTTATTTAAGTATTTTAATTTTATGATGAATATACTATTTTACACGTTGGTGTATATATATTTTATGAATAATCAAACGAATTTTCTAAGCTTTCTTTTCTTTGTCTTGTAATTTTTAAGATATGTCTGAAACTTGTGTAGATTGTTAAGTATTTATATTAAAATGTTATTTAAGTGTAAATGTTTGGTGATAATTTATTAAATTTTAAATTATAAGGAATATGTGTACTATTAAATGAATTTGTTAGAATTTTTACTTTAATAAAGGAAATTTTATTGTATAATTAATTTAATTGAGATGATGACAGGGTATGAAAATTGATAATCTAATCAGTCCATCAGTTAGGTAATGAAAAAATATTAGACAAGTATTTTTTTATTTTGTTGTATAAGAAAACAATACTTAGATAAAACGAATCAAAGTTTAGGAGTGGGAGGTAGCAACGTCATTTTAGAGTATAAATCATACTCAAAAGTGACGTCATGCGATATTTCAAATCAGTATATCTTCGAAACTATTCGTATCCATACGAAAATAAAAAATACGTGTCTAATGTTTTTAAATAATTTACGAGACGGTCTTTAAAATAAAAATTTGTAATTAACGGAGATTGGATGATCATAGTTTTTAATCTTATACTATTATACATATTACATCAATTAATTTCTTCGAGTTTCGTTCTTCATTTTTTCGGTTACACCGCTCCGCAGCCAAGCTATAGGGAAGTCTAACTACCTAGCAATAGGGATTAATTTCATAAACTCAGTTAGTGGATAATGTGCAATTACCCACTACTATGTCATATTTTTTTTATTATATAAAGCTGAAGAGTTTGTGTTTGTTTGAACGCGCTAATCTCCGGAATTAGTGCTAGGCTTTTCTGTACGATGTCAACTCGTCGAAGTGATTTTGATTACGGTTATAAGAATTATCTCGACCATAGACGGGCGAGAATGCGATCAAGATCATTTCAAATATTGGAATTGTCATTTTACAGAATATGTAGAATAGCTGGTGCGATTTGAATATGTATTTTTATATCGAATAATGCATTTATCAAGAAAGGTTATAAAAATCACGAGAAAATCAATAGGAGCCGAGCAGAGCGGGTAAAACCGCAGATGGATAGCTATTGTTTCATAATAATGGTACCATGGAACTGGTTTCATGCCGTAATTGGAAGGAAGGTGGCTGATGGGACCTTGGGATATGTATTAGTAAATATAATGAGTTTAGGCTCATTAAACATGTCCATTTCTGCGGTATCGGTGATAATTATATTTATAACTAGCTTTTGCCCGCGACTTCGTACGCGCAATCCTATTTTCTCCCGTTTCCATAAGATTTTCAGGATTTCCCATAAGATCATAAGAATCTTCTCCTGACAATAACAAACATCAAAAAAAATCAGCCAAATCTTTCCAGCCATTCTCAAGTTATGGCGTGACAACGAGAAACGGGTTTCATTTTTATATATATAAGTAGATAAGTAGATTACTATTTTTGAACTATAATAAATTTATTGTGACGTCATTTTGTAATTATGCTACTTGTTTTGTAGATTGAAGGTAATTAGGACACAAATGACGTGCAGATAATTATGTCAATTACATATATCATAAATATATCCTATGCATTTCAACATTTTCGGCTGTAGATTAGTACGCTCGTTCAGTTTAATCTCTCACTACGTAGTTTCGAGTCGGTCTTCTGTATCGATTCCATCTTAATTTTTCATTTTATTTTAATCAGGTAATTTTTGCATATATCCTCTTTACGTTTGAGGTTGTATAAATGAAATATTAAACATCTTTTTATTATTGTAATTTCTGATTACATTGAGTGATCGTGTTTGGGGACTCCTTTTAAGCAAGATGTGCCTGTGTTTGGAGTCCCCGCTCTTCCATAGCAATTTTAACAATATGTGAGTATAAAATATTTACTTAATTTCATCTGCCATTCTCATCTCTGCATTACCTGTCGACACTGTTAGATAATGTCTACGGCATTTAGTCAAATTTTAAATAAAATGAAGAATTCTTCAAAAACTAAATTAGCCTTAGTTTGAACCTACTTGATTTTAGGCGTAGGTCCGAAGCATATTGTGGATAAAGCTGGGGCGGCGCGCCTTATCGTGATCAGTAAGCCAGTCTAATGCCAACCCGCGATGGCATCGGACGCGAGTGTAATCGGTACCTGTTACGACATAATATTCGCTACAAGCCATGGACCTATTAAAAAATGTGAGTATATTATAAGTGAAATATGGTTTGATTTTTGATAATGATGAAAATTGATTTAACTGCACGGTTGGCGCAATAGCTGGGCAACTGGCTGCCGCGCAACGTGTCGCAGATTCGATTCCTGCGCGGAAAACAGATTGTTGTTCCAGGTGTTAACTTGCATGTTTGTTAACGCACTCACGACACAGGAGAAATTCTTAGTGTGGAGTAACGTTTTTTTTAATCCTTATCCTTACTAATATTATAAATCGGAAAGTGAGTTTGTTTGTTTGTTTTTTTGTTCCGCCTTTACGCCGTAACTACTAAACCGCATTGAATTTTTGTAGACGTAAAGTTAGTAGTCTGGATTAAATAATAGGGTACTTTTATTCCCGAAAAAAATTGATATTCCCGAGGGAAAACAAAAGTATTGGTATAGATGGCGCTGTATGTAAAGGTATATGTCACATAGGTTACTTTTTATGCTTTTGTGACGCGAGCGAAGCTGCGGGTAAAAGCTAGTAAAAATAAATAAAAAAATATTGACATTCTGTCCAGTTTACAGAGTTTTACAAAAACGTTTTTATACAATACGGTCATTTTCTGTTTAGTTTCAGTCATATTTATGTTTAGTATTCTCATTTTAAAATTAGCTTAAAGGTCATGTTTCTGAGAATATAACATACGGATATCAGTATTTTCATAAAAGTATCTAGTAGGTTATAGAACAAACTCTAGAGACCGTTAATATGTGATAAGTTCGCTTTTTATAATCCCGAGGGCGAACCAATGTTTAAATTTGAATTAGACTGGTGATCCAGGTGTCCATGAGCGACGCCGATTGCTTACCATCAGGTGATCCGTCTGCTTGTTTACTGACTTATCCCATAACAAAACAACTGATATGGTTCTGACCAAAGCTGATGGTTTCGATTTATATCTAGAAATATCTCATTTCTATTACAGATTTACCATATGGAGGATCAGTCACTTCAAACACTTTCAAGTCTTACTAGAAAATAAGGTAAATGATTTCTTCATTTTTATTTAGTTATTTAGTACCCACATTATTATTATAATATAATGACATGACGAATATTGACCAATAAATTTTGCAGAACTTTTATTATGAAAAATCCCCAACGTTTGTTTATACAAAAGTAGTCTCTAAACATCCGAAATAAGGTCTATTATGGTGTAAGTGGAGTACGGTCACCGGTGGACGCTTGGATCTTGACCAGTTATCGTGGCTTAATATTATGTAATCCCTACCTTATATCAATGTTGTGCTAATTAAGTTTTGAATTCAATCTGTTTATAAAATTAGGTAACTGGTAGATCCTATGAATTATGACGAAGTGCGTGTATAGTGCGCAGGAAGTAAATTAACAACTTTGTAATTTGTTCAGACGGCAGCAGGTCACGTCCTTTCTGTCAAAAGACTTATTAAATTTTAAATTTTACAGTTTTAGTACAAAGTTAAAATTCGAATAAAAAAAAAATTACTTGCCGGTGTCTGTGCCGTCCTTTTGTAACTTTTTAAATGTTATAATAAATTGTGTTGTATAATGTTCACAGCTACGAGCGGGCGACACCGTGATATGATTATAATAAAAAGCACGCACGAGATTAAGATACGTTCACGAG